CCACCGTTCACCTGAAAAACATTCAGCCATCACATATCAGTTGTATTCCCTCTTCTGTGTACCATTCTCTGGCTCCTTTACCTACACTGAACTGGCCAGCCTCTCTTCAATAATTGGATTTTCAAGACAATAATCTAAAACACTTCATTAAACCTGTATTTGGTGCTTCCTGTAAGAGGCTGTGAATTTCTTATCCAGGTAGGTAATATGTCTTAATGTATTTTTGTACCTTTTGTTCCCAGTAGGAACTCAGTCATTGTAGAACAAAAGAGTAAATGACTGAATGAAGCTACTTTTTGAATCCCACTGATGACAGCTCCCTGGTAGTCACAGGATAAAACACAAAACTTCTCCAATGTGGCTCTAATCCAATGTCCAATCCAGGTTGTATACTAAAATAACTGGGGGTTCTTTTCAAAAATACTGATCCTATACACATTGAGGCCATACTCTTAAGTGAAATAAATAGGACACACATGTGTAAATACTGTATAGTTTCTCTGGTGTGAAAGACAAAAAGTGTAAATAAGGTTCAAAATGTATAATTGATAATGTGAAATAGGAAGAAAAGATCTAAAAGGGTGGGGAAGTGGGAAGGGTAGGGGAAAGTAAAGAAGGGAAAAGAAAAAATATGAGAAAAGAAAAAAAATGGAAACAAAGTCTTTGTAACTAGGAAAGGGAGGAGGGGTAAAGGGAGGGCAGGGGAATGGGGAAAAAATAAGAACCAAGATATATCATGTAAAGGTACAAGATCCCAATGATGAATGTAACTGTACTGTATACCTAAAATGAACCAAATAATGAAAGAAAATTATAATTACACAAAATTGAGGAAAATAAAAATAACTACAGCAATGTAAAGAAAAAATACTGATTCTAGATCCCACCTCTAGAGATTCCTGGTTAAATCAGGTCTGTGAGCAGTGCCTGGGCATCAGAATTTTTTTAAGGTACTTCAAGTGATCCCTACTGCAGGCAGGGCTGGGTTAACTGCTTATAACTGGCTTTCCCCATACATGCTGGAGAAGTAATTGTTGTCATGGAGCATGTACACTTGCATGGTAATTCACTCAGGAACACAACAGAAAGGACAACCCGAGTAGAAAAGCACAGCTAGCTGAAATACCGCTCTCCATGTCAATATGTACAGCAGGCCTTTTCCCACTCGTGGCCAGACAAGTCCCTCCTTGAGCCTCTCTCTTAACTGCCCTGGAGGATCCATTCCCACCCATGGAGTCACTGTAAACATGAGCCGACCAGGCGCTGGTTTATATGCTGAGTGTTTCAGTTTAGATATAGACAGCCTGGCCCCCAAGAGCCTCATACACTCATTGGCCGGGTTTTTGGAGGGTGACTGGGCAATGGTGGCTTATAGCTGACTTTCTGTTAGAAGGTGGGGTCCTGTCAGAAAAAGTGGATCCCTAGGGAGCACGGCCTGGAAGGCCCTCCCCTGCCACCCCACTCCTCCCTTCACTCTGCTTCCCTTCACTGCTCCTGAGCACCTCTCCTCTGCCACGTCTCTCTGCCATCCCTTCCTGCCCTGGAGCCAGTGGGCTATAGGCTAAAAATCTGAGGCAAAATAAACCACTCCTTCTCTAAGCTCCACCTCTAGTTTGATACACAGCCTCCCAGGGCAGATAATGGTAAAATCTAGCAAAGTAGGAAACTGTAAGTTTTGGGTGCTATTTACCTTTGTTTTTAATACAATTTAACTAAATTTATGTATCTTAATCTTTCATGGGGGGGAAATATTGGTGAATTAACCCAGGGCTTTTGCCCTGAACTATACATCCAGCCCTTTTTATTTTTTTAATTTGAGACAGGGTTCAAGCCTGGGCTGGGTTTGAACTTGTGATCATCCTGCCTCAGCTTTCCAAAGTAATGGGAATACAGGCCTGTACCACTGTACCGGATTCAACTTTGATTTCTAATAACAGTTAATGTATTTTAACAATGTGCTTGCAAACTTCATGAATGTTTATTAACAATCAGCTCCAGCAGGCCAGTACGAGACTGATATAGCACACCATCACAAAGGTAACACACACATAATGGGGCACCTAATGGGGATGTGCTGGAGCTACTTTAGACTGAGGAGATATGTGAGTTGGGATATTAATAACAGAAAGAGCCAGCAATACAATATTCTGAGAAAACACACCGTGACACACAGGTGACACTGAGCGATCTCGGGAGAGAGCGTGCTTGCTCTGAGAAGACCAGGCTGACAGAAACCCAGTGGCAAGATGAGCACAGACAGAGTACCAAGAGATCCTGTGTAGACTTATGGAGCACTGTAAGGTACTGGACGACCTTTTATTCTGACTCCTAACAGGGGTCCAGAATCTGGGTTACTGTGCCAGGGCTTCTTTTCATCCCATGTCTCACTGGAAAATTTCAAGCACACCTATGGCTTCAGATGCAACCTATTTGCTGATGTCTGCCAAATCTATTCAGGCCATACCTTCAGGTCTGGTGCCATATTTCCAACTCTGCTCTCCCAAACACTTACGATGTAACTAACCCATTACACGATAGCCCACAAGTTAAAAATCTCATATCTCAATCTGCACACATCCTAAATAGATAGTGTTATGTTACCTGACTAAACCTGCTCCTCTTCTCTCTTATCAAGAGGCAACATCTGCCCAGATGCTACATCACAGTAACTCAATAGTCAACTTCATTAGTCACCACATCAAACTAGTTCCAAGAGCTGATGATTTACTGTCCTAAGTACCACAGAAATATTCACTGACCTTCCTTCTTCGCAGCCTCACTACCACAGCCTTACTTTAGTCTTCTCCGTTCTTCTGGACTTCTGCCACAGTATCCTACTTTACCTTCATGATTATCCGTCAGATTTCTTCCTCACCCTGATTTGTCTTTCAACAATTTCTACTTAAAAGAGATTACCTACACAGATAAACATGACAGACATCTAGTAGTCTTAGACTATCTAAGTATGAACAGTTTGCTAAAAAGCTAAAATTTTATCCTTAAGAGTATGCAAAGGTGATATATAAAACTCCTTGAGGAAATGTCCTTTGCCTACTTTCTTAGTTTTGCCTCCCATATCACCTTAGTTAACCAGTTCCTGCACATGTACAAATGCTTTCCTTACATCAATGTCTCCCTCATCTACCATTCACACTTCAAAAACTGAGTTCAGGTAGAATCTTTTCTTAGAACTTTTCTCTGACTCCAAACAAACCAGGTACCACTTTCTTTTAATCCCACATGCTGTGCATGCTTCAGTCACTGCCCTTACCCTATTTATTTGCAATTATTTGTTTACTTCTATGACTTCTGTGTCCTTAAAGGGCTGGGTCTGTAACTCCTATAAGTACCTTAGACATTGAGAATAGTAACTAGGAGATTGCAGGCACTCCTAATATTTGCTGCAATCATCGGTATCTTAAATGTCTCTAAAGTACTACTTTCAGGTTAGACAGAAAGTATTACACAATAATTGTGTGGGTGAGTACCGAAGGGCAGTCTGAAGTAGTAAGAAAAGGTTATCATAAAGTAAGGCTATGCAGTCACAAACAGTAGCAGGAACTACTGGAAAGGAGAGGGTTCCCATGCCACTGCCTTAGGCTTTCACATGAAAAAGTGGACAAAAGTTCTGATCATTCAAGAATCATTAAAAGAAGTAAAAAATCAACTCCTTTTTTAATATACAAGATGAAAATTCCAATCAATTCACAAACCAGTTTAGGACCAAAACAGCAACTTAATTTGAATAGAATTTGTACAGCCTCCTTCCTCTCATGCTTGCTCTGGAATGCAAATTAGATAACAAAGGTGAAATCTTTTCACCACAGAACTGTGGAGTGACCAGGTTAATGAGAGAGTAAGGTTTTGGAGATGCCAGGACATAAAAAAATGCCTCTAAAATGCATTATTTTATTTCCTCCTAAAGTAGATAAAATTAATCTAGTAGTTTAAAAACAAAACCTTATCAGTTGCCCCGGGACTGTGCAATCCCAAGAGATATAAACCTTCCACCTAGCAATTTCTTTATGAAAACTGAGCGACCAACGTTCTCTTGCGCGAGGGAGGGGCCAAAGAGGAAGAAGGGTTTGGGGGTGAGAAAGCAAGCTGGAGAGAGGCTGAATGGCATTGGTTGTCTGTCTTCCAAAATGACTTGTGGAAAAAGTGCAACGACGAAAAGACAAAAGCAGGCAATGAAAGCTTTCATAAGTTCTAAATCGTCTTAGAGACTCAAATACTACCCTCACTTATAAACTGAACACTTTTCTCCCAATAATGTCACAGCATTGAAGGCGGATGTGGAGCCGCGCGCGGGCCACTCTGGCTGGGTGTGAAACACAGTTTCTCCTTGTGCCGGACACGCCCTCGCCAAATACCGGAGCCTCCAATTCTCCTTCTTACGTACACGTGTCCAGGTTTGAAGAGGATAAAGGGACGAAACGTGTGGAAAGGAGCCGAAGAACTACCACCGATGGAAACTTGCAAAAGCAACGCGCGTTTACAGAGGAGCTTAGCTGCACAGCGTTGCCGGGGAAACCAAGACAAGTACCTAACCTCATCCAAAGAGGGGTCTCGGGACTACTCCTCTGGGCCAGGGGCAAAGAGCCGGGAGAGCTAGCCCTCGACCTTCCGGGAGGTTCTTTCCCAAGGCTCTGGCCCGGTCCTCGACCTCCCAGGAGGAGCCTACCGCGTAGAGGAGCACTACGGCGCCGGGACTGGTGGAGCTGGCGGAGAAATGGGAATTAGCGGGGCGCTGAGAGTCCATGGTGCGGTTGCCGTCCCGGGCGGGGCCTGGGATCCTCTGCTACGCGGCGGCAGGGCAGCCGCTGGGGGCGGTTCTTCCGCGCGGGGCAGCCTGACCTCGCCCAGGGCGGCGGCACCTCGTACAGCCACCGCTCGGGACCCCGGGAACCGCCATTTTAAGCAGGACGGAAGCCGAGCGGGGCTCTGTGGCGTCGGGGGAAGCGCGGAGCCGGAAACGGAAGTAGCGAGACGTGGGCTGGAACTGTGATCTATGCTCCCCCCTATGGCGCGGGAGAGGGTGTCGGGGCCAGGTTGTGAGGCAGCTGAGCACACTGAGAACCTCTTGGACGCCCTGTTGCAGACTCTGTACGACGTGGGTGAGTGAGGACCAGTATCCTGGCCCGGTGGCGAGGCGGCCTGGGGAACTGCGCGGAGGACTGCTGGCGCTGTGGGCCCCTCCCCCACCCTCGCACGCTGCTGGGCTCCCGGGCCTTCGCCAGCCCCCTCTCTACCCCCTGCCAAATTGACCGATCTTTCAGCCTCCTTCGCCTATCTTACAGGGGGAAAGGAAAGTAATAAAGCCTATTATTGAAGATTGGAAACTGCCTGGTCCTTTAGCAGGACGGTCTTTCGCACCCTGAAGAGCTGACACGGATGTTCCGTCTTTTGTAGGAGCAAACACACTTATTAGATTTACAGTGATGCTACACATGCTACTTTGTTTTTATTTTGGAGCGGTTGCTCAAAATTTGAAACTCATCTACACAGTAAGAATGACAGTTTAAAGGAGGAAGATCTTAAAGTATACTACATACTTTTGATGTATTCATCCTGTGATTCTCAGAACAACTTTCTGGTTGTTCTTATAAATATCATCATTAATCTCATCACTGCAAGTGTAAAAATGAACTAGAGTTTTAAAAAGGTTGCTGCAGGCTACCGCCACAGTAACTTGGAAAACATAAGTTCCAGCCCTTACAATCTTATCACTGTACCCTGTGTTATATTGGCTTGCCTTGTGACCGAGCATCGCGATGCTCTTGGAAACAGAAAAGACCTCTGGAGTAAATTTGCAAAAGCCACCCGAGGAGGAGTTTAGCTGCACGGTGTTGCCAGGGAAACCAAGACAAGCACCCAACCCCCCATGGAGGAATGTGGGGGCACTCCTCTGGGTCGGGGGCTAATGAGCCATGGGAGCTAGGGACGGAGGAGGTTCTTTCCCAAGGCTGGAGAACAACAGACCTCAAGTCAGTGACCTTGAGGGATTTTAAATTTAAAGGAAGAGACTGTTGTGCAAAATTCTACATACAGTTATGTCCACACAGGCTGGAAATCATTATGCTAAGAGCTCTGAAGGCCTGGACTGGGTCTACTCATTTTAATATTTCTAGTGCTGAAGTTTTTATTGGCTCCTAGTGTTTCTTGCGTAAAATACTGATGTTTAGAAAGCTCTTGTGTTTGTACTGTAGGTGAGTAATGAGGCAAATACTGGGGAGAGCTTTCAGGTGATTGATTAGTTTGAGTAAATGAAACAGAAGATTGGATGTGGATATTTAGTAGGAAAAAAAATATACTCATATTAAGCCAATCATCTTAGGTTCTCCTTAATTCATAACTGGAGGAAAATAGGAAGACCATTTTACCGTTAGCCTTGGAAAGTGTTGAAACACTGGCTTCGTTGGCAGTTGTTTTTACTGCAAAGCATGAGCCAGTTGAGTGAGATTCCCAATCCTGGGAACTGTTCTTGTGGTGATACTGTGAGGAAAGTCCGAGGTGAGAAAGAGAATAATTGTGCTAATAAAAGTCAAGGACATAAATCTTACCTAGGAAAAGATGACTGTATTTTGTATTCTATAAATTGAGGAAATTACTTAATTTATTTCTTTGTGTGTACTTTTTGGTGCTTAGAGCTGTGGCTATAAGTGCATTAATATGATTTGATATTGGTATTAACTAAACCAAAAATACTTGTTTTTCCTTTTTGTGTTTGAATAAATAGGAGAGAAAGATGATGAAACGGAACAGAAGAGAATCAGAAAGAAGAGAGACAATAGGAAGAGAGATGGGGTTGCAGTAGCTGTGGCAGCAGAGAGAACCCTGCCTGGTTCTCTCACAAGAGGCCAGAAGAAGAGCACTTCCAGCTTTTTCAGGGAGCTCAGAGAGGAGCTCTGTGCTCCTGTGGTCACCTCCCACAGTCCCCCTTCAGGAGCAGAAGTCTCCACTACTACAGGATCACCCTCTCCCCTGCAGAACAACAGGGAGCAAGTGGAAGTGGTACAATTTCACAGCAGAAATAAAAAGAGAAAACTGAAGCCAGATCAAGATGAGTGTGCAAAGGTAATGCACTGGTTGGCTTGTATGTGTATGTTGAGACCCCTGATGCATTTTTGGGTGGGTGACTGCCTGTATAGACTGTATCAGGGATGCCCGAGGATTTGTGTAAGATACTGATGGACTCACACATAGTTCTTATCACCCACACAGGCAGATAGACTGATGTTAGTTATCAAGCTCTAGCCCTCCAGAGAAAAGCAGGTGTTCATTGTAAATCTCATTGTTGATGTAAATACCAGGTAGATTTGGTATAGCGGTGGCTCAAGACTGCATGTGTGCAGAAACACTGATCTGCAGAATAGTCTGCTTCAGGAGCCAGTGATCAGGAAATTGTAGAAACAGAACTGTCTTGGGAGTTTCAGAGTTTGATAAACCCAGGCCTGCTCTGCTAATGCTTTCCCATTCCTGAGCTTTGTGTTTGTCCTTGGAGCAAGACATTCTTTCTGTGTGTTGGCCATTTCTCTCTTTTTTTAGTTTCTTTCTTTCCTTTTTTTTTGGTACCTGGGATCGAACTCAGGACCTTGCGATTGCAAGGCAGGCACAGTGCCACTGAGCTGGCCATTTTTTTCTAGGCACTGAGATATAGCAATGAACAAAATGTACGGTAATCTTCACTCTGAAAGAATTTAGATTCTGTTGAAAAAGCCATTTGATTTTTCCTGATTAGAAATCTCTGTCAGACTGAATGTGTAAATCTGACCCAAAATTCAGTCCATGGAAGAAGTATAGTTACTCCTCCAAACTTTTTTCCCTCACCAAAATATCCTAGTGGCTTTGTCACATTCATTGCTAAAATCTAAATTTCCCATTTCTTTAGCATTGCCCTAGTGTATTGTTTTTTTTGTTTTTTTTTTTTTTTGGTACCAGGGATCGAATTCAGTACCTCACACCTACCAGGCAGGTGCTATACTGCAGAGCTTAATCCCCAGCCCAACCCTGCCCTAAGTTTTACAAACCTTTTATCAGTAAAAAAAAGAAATGAGGATTCTATTATAGTAATACCTTGGTTTATCAATGCTTCTGTTTGCAAACAATTCAGTTCTCAGAACCATTCGACAAAATTTTGTTTCCATTCACAAACTTCATATCAAGTGACAAACATAACCATGGCCATTTTCCCCAAAATTGTAAAACAAATTAAGTTCATGAACCAAGGTACCACTGTAGTTTTTAAGGCTGCTAGAACAAATTACCACAAACTTGCTGACTTAAAACAATAGAGATTTATTGCCTTATAGTTCTGGAAGCCAGAAGTCTGAGTCAAGGTTTTGGTAGCGCTGTAGTCTTTCTCAGGGCTTGTTCCTTGCCCCTTTGACAAGATGTGATTCTAAGCATCCCTTGGCTTGTGGCTCCAAGACTACTGTCTCTGCCTTATCATTAAGTAGCATTCATCCCTGTGGGTCAGAGTCTCCTATTTCCCTCTGCCTCTTTCTGATAAGGACACTTGTTACTGGGTTTAGGGATCACTCTTAAATCTAGGATGAGCTCAGCTAGAGATCCTTAATGTACATACACTCTAGAATCTTTTTTAAAATAAGGTCACATTCACAAGTTTTAGAAATTAGGAAATGGCTATCTGTATCTTTTGGAGGCCATAGTGCCACCTACTACAAAGGTAGTTTAGCTTGTATTGTTCCCTATGAATGTGTGAATTCATGTTAGTGACCAGTATTTTGCTACATCTTTATTGTTTTAGAAACCATCTATGTACTCCTCTAGAATGCAGGTAGCACTTCATGTCTAGCTCACTAACATCTTTACTTTGAAGATTATTAGAACAATGTAATCATGTCTGCCTTTAAGATTCTGAATCAGATTCCCAACTCTTCTGCTGCAAATATGGGGACACTGGGATCTGTTACATGTGGGCCAAAAAATAGCTCTTGGAACAGGATAGCCCAAGCCTTCAAGCTGAGCATCTCTTGTTACCCCAGAGTATGCTACAAAAATTATAATTTTCTGGGTGTGCCATGATGCAAAAAAGGTGGGAAAGACTGCGTTGCAGTGCAATTCTGGAGCATTATACCAGCAGAAAGCATCTGGGCATCCTCCCTCAACTCCTTGACTGTCTCAGTCTTTGGTTTCCCCTTTTGCTTAGTTGGGCTCCCCTTTTTGGAAGGGCAAATTTTCTTAGTAGAAAGGGCAAGAATAAAGTTAGCATTGACTGAGTCTGCATTTCCCAGTTCTCTTGGTATTAGAACATCTGGGGCAGGCTGTCAAATTGTCTTTTTCTTCCTGCTCCAAGTGAGCACTTTTCCTTATAGTTGGATTTTCTCAGGAACCTCAGCTTTTTCTGCGTTTTGAATTTCTTGAGCCTAAAGAAATATTCCATTTGTCCTTAATACTCTGCCCTTCTTTTTGTCTGAGAATGTGGCTGCTGTTTATTCATATATTTTACCCATTCCAAATATTTAGCCTATAGATGAACTTCCTCAGTGTCTCATTTTAAAACTGTCTATGCCTATAGGCATAGTTTCACATGAAATACTAGGTAAAGGATCATTTATTTATTCCTCTAGCCACCAATAATTGAGTGCCTGCCGTTTGCCAGTCCTTAGAGACACTGTAATGAACAGGTATATGTTTTTGTCCTTGTGGAGTGTGCATTTCTATCTACTTTGAAGATGGGCAGAGCCCTAGATAAATTGCAATTTTAAAGAGTCACAAATCTTCTAAAGGAGACAGATGGGGTTCTGCGAGTAGCAGCACTCTGTCAAGAGGTCAGGGAAGTCTCTGAGGAGGTCCCATTCAGGCAAATGTGGGTTAAATGGTTCTAGGAAGAGACAGGGAAGGGTGACACAGGCAGGGGCAAACAGCCTTCCCAGTAGGAAGCTAGTTCAGGGAGCTGGGAGACCAGCAGGAGGGAACAGCAGTGTGAGCTGACACAGGCAAGGCCAGCCCTCATCAGATCTAAAAGGCAGTGGTGAGTCCTTCCAGCTGTAAATTATGAGAAGCCACTAGAGAATTTTAAGTGAGGGCAAGATGGGGTCTTTTTCTGAAGGAATTAGGTGGTAGGCCAGCAACAGCAAGAAGCATGAGGGGGCCATGTGGTGGCGCATGCCTCTATAATCCCAGCACTCAGGAGACTGAGGCAGGAGTATTGCCACAATTGTGAAGCCAGCCTGAGCTACATAGTGAGTTCAAGGCTGGCCTGACTTACATAGTGAGACTATGTCTCAAAATAAAAATAAAAAGGCATGAGGGGACTGAGTGAGGATTTGGTGCAGTGGTCCAGACGTGAAATGAGGCGGCCTGAGTTTGAGGAAGGAGTGCATAAACTCACTCTTTAATAGGTGCGGGATTGTCTTGGAGAAAGAACATTCTTATGCCCATGCCCACCCCACCCCTCACCCACCATAACAGTACTGGGTATAGAACTGAGCTACAAGCCTAGCCATTTTAGCTTTATTTTGAGACAGAGTCTCACTACATTATCCAGGCTGGGCTTGAACTCAAGCCTGGCTCATTCTTAAGCTCTTTAAGCAATAAAAGCATCAGGTACGGCCTGAGGTGTTGCCTGGCCCTTGGGGCATGGGCCAGCTCCCCTCTCCACCCCCAGCACTGGTCCATCTTAGCACAGCCTATTCACTGCCCTGCTTTAGGAACTTTCTGCAAATTCATGGCCTGAATTAAAAGGGACAAGAAGTGTACGTATACTGTAATGGGAAGAAAAGAAAGGTGAGCTGTAGCTCCTGTGTCTGTAACCTGGACTGAGCACAGAGGTAGCTTCTGGTACCAGAGCTGCTGTTGTTTGGGGGTGCATGCTGTGTACTTAGACTGGTTATTCATATTTGCAAACCCATCCAGCATCTCACTTGAGCCTCCCATTCCTGTGACCTGTCTTCATTGCACAGATAATGTTACTTCCTTGCAGTTAAACATCAGCCCCACTGAACAATACTTTGGACTCAAAATGCTCAGAGCATGATAAATGACATTGGTTGTTTTTCTTTTTTAAGATTGTGCAAATATATTTGGTAGAAAAACCTGATGAGACTCACCTTTGAGGTGGATATTCATAGAGGTTTCTGCAGAAATATCCGTGTATGTGCTTATGGGTGTCTGGCTTGGACCCTACTAGAAGTGTCATATAACACGCACTCTACTCAGAGTACTGCATTCTGAAAGTTGGAGGACATCTGAAAAGTTCGAAGCTGGAGTCTGATCTTAAGGCTTCCAGATAAAGGATATAAGCGCCAAAGTTCACGTTCAACCTCAGGGATTCTGGCTTCAAAGCTATGTATTTAACTACTCCACAGAGATCAGGTATAGGCTCTTTGTGTTTTGAGTAAGAAAGTATGAGGAACCAGAATCATCACCAGTTAAGACATTATTGTCAGATAGCACTGCTACGTGCGGATACTTGCCTCCCTGGTGCTATCCTCACACACACACATGTGTCCCAGTTAGGAAAAAAGTACAGTATTTGAGGCAATTTATACTCAATAAAGTGTGAACAAACTTTTTAATATTCCTAAAATTGCCTGTGGTTTTAAAAAGTGTTTACTGGCTACTTTTGTTGAAGACAGGTTTAACATTGTAATTAATAGATTAAAGAAAAATCCAAGCTGTGGAAGAAAAAAAAGGTGTTCTCAATCAACAAGTCAGCCCATAGACATGTTTGATGACTGGAGGCTGGCCTGCCTTCATCCCTTGCCCCTTACTCTTCCTCCAAACTCTCTTTTTATAGCTTTTCTCTTTCCTCTTTGCCTACCATACAAGTTGTCCAAATCTCCCAACATTTCTATCTCCCATGAATGGGACAGAATGGCTAGATGTGTTGGGATATGTTGGGACCAAACGGTGAACCTTTTAGAGACCAAGTGCCAAACTGCCACGCAAAACCCACTTATTTATTACAAAGCATCCACACTACAATTAAAACCTGAATACTGAGGTTTTAGTTTAGAAAAAACAACTCATACATTAACATCTTTTGTCTTAAAAGAAAAAACACAGTAACATGTATGCCATAGATTCACCACTGCTGGGTTAGGCTGTAGCTTACATCTCAGTGGCTTGAAAGGTTCTTCCTGTGTTCCACATCTGCCCCGATTCTTGCCCTGGGGATTGCGGTGCTGTGTGCCAACATCTGGCACCAGCCCCTTTCCTTCAGTAGTGAATGGCTCTTAAGGGCTCAGTGTGCAAGGAGGCAGAAACACCCACTGCTCACATTCCTTGGCCAGATGACACATAGGCTTTGCTAACATTAAGCAGGCAGGGAAGCCATTTCCCAGTATTGACAGTAATGCCTCTCACCAGAGTTTCTGAAGTGGGGAATAGATTATGAATAACACTCTGAAGTGATATTAAAGCTATCAGTAAAAAGTTAGAGCCCAGTGTAATCCCAGGACTCTAGGAGGCTGACACAGAAGGATCACCGAGTTTGAGCCCAGCCCAGACAATTTAGCAAGACCCAGTCTGGAGGCTGGAGATGTAACTTAGTGTAAAGGCCCTAGTGAGTTAGTGAGCCCCCAGGGTGACAAAAGAAAAAATAAATACAAGTTAGACAGTATTGGAATCATGCTAATAGCATCATCCACAGAGTAATTAGCCAAGATATTTTTCCCTGGAGAAATGTTTGCATTTGTTATATACAAGGATCTAGACCTCAGACCCTTTCACATAAACCCATTGACAGCTACAAAACTTCAGGATGTTTCTGGCAAAATGTTAAGGAATGTGGACATCAAAGTGTCCGTCCACGCTAGACAGGCCCCCCAGCCTGGTGTTGCCACAGCCGGGGTGACTGGACTGTGGTGCAGGGACTGGGTATAGTATGGGTTTTCTGTTGGGGAAAGCAGGAACTCTCAAAGGCTAGCCACTGCCCCTCTTCTGAGGGTCCAGGGTCTCTAGCTGTCAAGAGAATTTTACCCCAGCAGTTTTTCCTTTATAAATGGCTCCATTCTCATGCCATGCTCCTGGCAACATATCAGCAGGAGCATCTAAGATATCCCTAGTATTGCTGGAAATGCAGTGTGCCTGAAAGAAAGTTCAACTCCAGAGGGAATGGTTAGCCAGTGCCACAGGATTCTGGAGATCTGCTGGCATTATACAGGGATGTGGTTTGAAGGTTTGAAGGTTTAGTTATGATCCAGATATTAGTAACATTTAATCCTTCAAAAGTGTCTTGCTTTTAGCACTCTCAGAGCCTGAGGCAGGAGGGTGGCAAGTTTGAGCCCAATTTGGGTACTTTAACAAGATCTTGTCTTAAAAGAAGTTAAAAAAAAAAGGCTAGTGATGTAGCTTAGTACTGGATTCAATCCGTGATATTGCTAAAAAAAGGAAAAAGTGTCTTACTGTTTGTCATCTTAAATAGATTAGAAGATGTACATGCTAATGGAAAAGTTACCTGAAGTTCAAAGTAAATGTAAAGACTGTTTCCAAGTCATGGAATAGGAGACTTTCTGGGGTGTGTAAAAAAGGACAAACCCCTCACAGCTTTGTGCTGTGCCATCCCCTGGCAGCTTCTATGCTACTTTCTGTCTCTGAATATGCCCACACTCGGTGCCTTGTGTGAGTGGAACTGTGAGTGGAACTGTTGCCCTTTTGTGACTGGCTCTTTCATGTAGCATAGGGCCTTTAAGGCCTGTTGATGTGATAGTTTATTTCAGAATTTCCTTTTTTATTTTATTTTTGTGTTTTGGTATCAGGGATTGAACTCAACCTTCCACTTTTGAGGCAGGCAAGAATTTCCTTATTTGTTGCTTAGTGGTACTGGGGATGGAACCCAGGAGTTTCCACATGCTAGGCAGTTGCTGTCCTCAACCATCCTCCAGCCGATAATTTTTTATTTTTTTATATTTTGCAGTACTGGGGGTCAAACCCAGGGCCTTTGCACTGAACTACATCCCAGCCCCTTTTTATTTTATTTTATTTTATTTATTTATTTTTGGTTTTGGTTTTTTTGAGACAAGGTCTCACTATGTAGTTGAGAATGACCTGGAACTCACTATGTAGCCCAGGCTGGTCTAGAACTCACAGTGATCCTCCTGCCTCAGTCTCCCAAGTGCTGGGATTACAGGCGTGCGCCACCACACCCAGTCCCTTTTTATTTTTATTTTCAAATTTTGAAATGGTCTCGCTAAGTTGCCTTGTTGGACAGGGTGGGCTGGAACTTGTGCCTCAGCCTCCCAAAGTGCTGGCATTATGTGTGTGCCACCATGCCTGACTCCAAATTTCCTTTCTACAAAGGTTAAGTAAGACCTCTTTTTATAGATGCACCATCATGTTTACCCATGTGCCTAGATATTTGGGTTGCTTTGCAGTTAGCTATTATAACAATGCTGCCTTGAACATAGGTGTACAAATCTCTTCAAAACCCTGTCTTCAGCTCTCTGTGTACCCAGAAGTGGGAGTCCTTGATCATCTAGTAATTTTATTTTTTTAATTTTTGAGAAACTGCCATATAGTTTTCTACAGCAGTACCATTTTTCCTGCCAATCAGTAGAGCACAGAGGCTCCTGTTTTTCCACATTCTGGCCAGTACTTGTTATTTCCTGTTTATTTCCTAGTAGCCAGTCTAGTGGGGATGAGTGTTTTGAAAATGTCATTCTGTTGGTGATCAATTTATAATGATATGTTAACTGATGATTTTATTTTCATTTTTTAATTTTTTTCCAGTACCAGGGATTGAACTCAGGACCTTGCACTTGTGAGGCAGGCATGGTAATACTGAGCTAAATTCCTGCCTTCCTCTTTTTTTTAAGCAGATGACATTAATAGTTTTTTTCTTTGTAGACAAAAACTATTATCCAAGAGAAAGACACAAGTATTCAAGAATTTAACCTAGAAAAGGTATGTAGTTTGAGATTGTTATATTATTTATAATTAATTCAGATGTTAACTAAATTTATAATGTTTGTAAAATTTGTAATACACTCGCAGACTGATTGATTGATTGATTGATTGATTGTACGGGAATCGAATTCAGGAACTTGCACTTTCCAGGCAGGCACTGTGCTGCTTAGCTACATCCCTGGCTACAGATTTATTTATAGTACCAAAAAAAAATTCCCAATATTTTACATGTCTAATGACTAAAGAAATGGTTAAGTGAAATCTCACCACATTCACTTGACTGTCACACTCATTTAATACATGACAGTTTTCTAGCTGTAATAGCAACGATAAGAGGGTAAACTAATAAGAAGGCAGGGATATCATCTGCATTTGTAACAAGTTTTAAAAATATGTAACAACAATAACAACAAAAAGAACAGGCGAAGGTAATTTAACAGCTAAGATGTGGGCTTTGGTAACGCTGTCTTCCTTCTGAGTGCATGGTCTGCCTATGAACTACGGTGACCCATGGATTGAAATGTAGATGGGTGTGTCTGTGTCTACAAGGTGCTTTGATTTGAAGCCATTGCCTTTCTGGATGATGGCTTGTTGGACAGAGCATCCTAGGATACTGCAGAGCTCTTCTTAGCTCTGTCTTTGACTTTGCAGAGATAATTCTTGGCTTTGGTTGTCCAGTAAGGAGAAGGACATTGTGAGGTAATGGTGATGTGGAAGAAGAGCCTCTCCAGCAGTCCTTCAGCCACAGCCCCGCAGATACATTACCCTTGCTTTTGGGGTGGCCCTGTATGTCTGGGCTGTGTTACCTGGAGATGTGCCTTTTCTTTGGCACCACTGGGATGCACTGGGGGCTGGACTCTATTTGGTGTTCTCAGGCTCGGTTGGAAGTACACCGGTTTGGGATCACGGGCTACGGGAAAGGAAGAGAAAGAGTCCTGGAACGGGAACGAGCCATCATGCTGGGTGCTAAGGTGAGAGGCACCTTCATTGGCAGGTGGGTGCCGGAGGGTGGGGGGGAGTCCAGGTGGCACAGGGGTCATGGGGACATTTTTGCAGATCAAAATCTGATAATATATGTTCTTATTCCTTCATTTTAGCCTCCCAAAAACAGTTACATGAACTACAAGGTTTTGCAGGAGCAAATCAAAGAAAAAAAGGCAGCAAAGGAAGAAGAGAAGAGAGCGGTAGGTGTAATATACTGGAGTCTGTTCTTTATTCTGGTCAGTAGAACAGAGAGATGGATGCACCCAGCCACAGTGACATGCTGGAGGCTACTACCTACAAAGAAATCGGCACAGAGTTGCATGGCAAATTCCCTGCACTTCACGTCAGCCGCATTTTGTAATACCAGGTGAGGAGTCAAGCATATTGACAGGGAAAAGCAGTAGCAGGCTTCTCTCAGGAAGTGCTGGCTGCTTTCCAGTGCCTCCTCATTTTGTACATTTCATACTATAAAGCACACAAAGGCCTATGAACAACCACAAAAAAAATAGTTGTGACACTCCCGTCTTTACGAGAAATGGAAGTGACCTGGCTTTTCAGCATAAGACTGTCCATCTTACCTGGAAGAGCCTTTTGCATTCTTTTTTTCTTTTTCTTTCCTTGTTTTTTTCTTTTTTGGTACTGGGGATCGAACTCAGAACCTTGTGCTTGCATGTCAGTCAAGGTACCACTGAGCTAAATCCTCGGCCCTCCTTTTGCATTCTTGAAAGGGTTTCGAGATGAGACTTTGAGACTATATATTTAATACCCACTTGAAAAAATGAGTGAAATAAATAGTATGTTGGTGGCTTTGGTCACAAGCCTCTTGTCCCTTTATGAATCTCTCTTATCCACTACTGACACATTTATTATTTTAAATTCTGAAATCAGGCCCAGGATGCAGATATTTTCAAGAAAAAGAAGAGGAGAGGACAAGAAGATAGGTGAGTGATGTTTGCAGGTCCTGGGGCTGACTCTAGGTGAGCATCTTAGTTCTGACCCAGCATCTCGTGTTTCTAGCCATTAGATGGCTTCTCTTGCCTTGGTTGTCCTGATCAAGTCTGTAAGAGGAAGGTAGCTTTTAGTAAATTTCCAAAGACCAAGCAGCCTCAGAACTGAACTTATAATTTTCTGCAGTCTGGTTGTCAAGGACCAGATGTGTAGGTGACCAGTGGAGAAGTTGAGTGGTGTCGCTGGTGTACTGCACAGCAGGTCTGTGTTGCCCATCTTTGCCATTCTGTGGATGGCTGAGCGTCATGAGATTCAGCAAGGAGCACTGACCATTGCCATGTGCCTGTTTCTTAGTTTCCATTCAAGTGCTGTCTCTTCTCTTCCACCCTGCTTCAGAGTGGACTCTATCTTAGGCTTCTCCTTAGACCCCTTGTGTACTTGTCCATGCCAGAAAGTGATCATTCATTATGGCCACAGTGACAGGTGTCCGTTAAGTGCCTGAAGTGTGCTGGGCACATGGGTGATATTACATAGGTGTTGGTACAGCTGTGGTCACACTGAGAGGACCCATGTCCTCCAAGGCTGGTTTTAGGAAAGCACCAGACAAACAGGGTGACCTTAGATACTGGGAAGTCCTATGAAGAGGCTGGAATAGAGTCTTGTGAGAGGAGATCACCGGTGGAGAGCTAGGAATCACTAGAGGGAGGGGACATCCAGGTGGAGAACTGTGTAAAGAGAAAGGACAGCCTGGAAAGATCATTCCTCCTACAAAGGCAGGAGGGCCAGTGGGCCTGGCCTGGCTGTGTGTGGAAAGGGACAGGGGTATGCAGGCGACCTGTAGTGGCCTGCAGGGCTGCTTCTTACGCCTAACTGCATGGTTCCTTTTTCTCACCTTGAATATAGGAAACCCAAAAAGAAGAAGTCAGCTCCCAGTATTTTGTCAAGTGGACAGGTTGGACAGGTCGGAAAATTCAAAAATGGGACCTTAATTCTGAGCCCATTTGATATCAAGAAAATAAATTCTTCCAGAGTGGCTAAATGAAGTACTTTGTCAGATAAAAAGGGCAATGACACTGGTCCTGGCCAGACTTGCAGTCTTGCGTGTGTCTCGTGCTGCCTCCTCGGTTGAGGAGGACCAGACAAGCCTGCGGAGCTGCGCTGCTCACCGAGTAAATGGGCCTCACTTTCATTTCCAGCACTGATGCTGGGCACGTTTGCCTGTCATACCATTTTCCATAATTTTACTGTCATAAATAAATGCTAGTAATTAACATTAAATTATTTTTAATACTTGTAATGACTTAATGTTATTGGCTCATGAAAGAACTAAGAGCATGTTTTATTTTTTGGAGAAGAAGTTTTAATTTTAAGCCTATTTGTATAAAATGTACTTTTTCTGAACTTGTATAAATAAACACAGCTTTTATAGTATATATGGGTGCTCTACCACTGAGGTGCATCCAGTCCTTTTTTTTTTTTGGTACTGGGGATTGAACTCAGTCCTTGCGCTTGCATGGCAGGCCACTGAACCGCTGAGCTAAATCGCCGGCCCCCTTTTTTGTTTTTAATTTGAGATAGTGTCTGCTAAATTACTCAGGATGGCCTCAGATCTACAGTCCTTTTACCTCAGCTTTCTGAGTAGCAGGGATTACAGTGCCCAGACTGGCCTTTTAACTTTATAGCTACAAATATCGGATTCCAACCTTGCAAATAAGTTTTTGTCAGTCCTTCAAGAGGGCTGGGGATTAAGCTCAGTGGTGCTGTGCCTATCTCACATGCACAAGGTCCTGAGTTCAATCCCCAGTACCAAAAAAAAAAAAAAAAAAAAAAAAAAAAAAATCCAGGAAGTTTTGAATGACAGACTGTGTTGTGTGACCTTGAGTTGGCCCTGAAAGCATTGCCAAATGAGAAACACAAAATTGCATAGTGCCAGCACAAAATCTAGATTAATTTCCAGACTTACAGAAGGTAGAGTTCACTAAGGAAATATTTTTTGGCACTTTATAAGAGTAGTGTTTTCATGTGTAAATACCGAATAGTTGCTCTGGTTTGAAAACCTATAATAGTACATAAGATCCTAATGAGATAATTGACAATGTGAAATAGGAAGAAAGGGTCTAAAGGTGTAGGGAAAGTGGGAAGGGTAGGGAAAAGGTAATAAAGGAAAAGAAAAAAAATAGGAGAAAATGAAAAAATGGAAATTACGTGTTTGTAAACGGGAAGTGGGGGGGTGAAGGGAGGGCAGGGACAAGGGGAAAAAATGAGAACCAAGACCTGTCATGCTAAGGTACAAGATCCCATAATGAATGTAACTGTACTGTCTACCTAGAATGTACTAATAAACTCAAATTTAAAAAAAAATAAGAGTAGTGTTTTTTAAAAGTATAAGCTGTTGGGCTGGGGATGTAACTCAGTGGCACAGTGCCTGCCTGGCAAGCCCAAGGTCCGGGAAAAAAACTGTAAGCTGTGTGTGGTAGTACATGTCTGTAATCACAGCACCTAGGAGGCTAAGACAGGAGAATCTATGAGTTCAAGGCCAGCATGGGCTGCGTCGCAGGTTTAAAGCTAGCCTATACATAGTGAGACCTTGTCTCAAAAAAAAGTAGAAGATCTTAAACATGACAGAAAATGCTGGGGAAAACATCTTAGAAACTAAAAAAGACTTGACAGAGGAGATACTAGATGAATCGAGCTCTGTCTTGCCAGCAGAGCAGCTGGGGTTGGGGGGCCTCACCTTGTCTAGCTCTGCCTCATCTCCTGTTCAGTAAGCCTGATAGCTTTTGAGCCCTTGGCCAGATTGGACCAGATCCCCAGCCCAGTCCATTTTGGAAAACCATGCAAATTCCAGTTATAAACTGCTGTGTTCATTCCTGTTTCTACTTTTTATTGTGTAAATATTTAGAAAGCAATTTTCTGAAAACTGGGTGTTCTAAAAACACTTAGAGGTTTAATGACAAAAATAATAACCACCCTATATTTTAACGACTAAAGGTCAAGCTTAAGCCAGTGCTCTTTATTTTCTCTTGGTGTGTTTTCTTCCACCAAGGTGAGTGGCTGAGAGAAGTGTTGTTAGAAAGTCATTGGGAGGAACATGGGGGCACCTGTGAGGTCTGGCCCTCGTTACAAAGGGAAGAGACCTAGGCCTTGGTGTCCAGAGCAGATGCACTCTGACTATTTGTGTTGTCATCTGCCCTTGGCAGTAATTGTGTCCCACCTTTCACACATTGCACCATTCAGCCCACACAGCTCTGTAGGACATGAGGCATGGGTGAGGTGGCTGGCCAGAGCTAGGAAGGCAGAGGGCTAGACAAAGGCCTCCAGAACTGTGGCCTTAGCACATAGTGAACAGACCAGGAAATGGCTGTGTGGCCAACTTAGGCAGCCAGTGGAGCAAAGCCCTATTATATAACTGCAGGAACTCTCACCTCTGTCACTTGTTGCCAAACTGGACCCATGGTGCAAGAAAGTGTGTGCTTGTCATGGAATCAGTGTAAAGGGCAAAGAGCAAACTCCTCACCCGTGGTGCCATCTCTCTGGAGTTCCCAGATCCCCCTGCTTCTCACCAGCTGCTATCTTGGCTGCCCCACTTGCACTGTCTACTTGGTGTGGCTGACTTTACTCCACAAAAGATCTTGGCCTTCATCTCTTTGTACCCAACAATACCCTTCAGGGACAGATGAAAATGAATATTTTTCATCCTGTCCTTTCTGATACCATTTACAACTCAGAGGTCACACTAAGTCTTCCCAAAGCAGGGTCCTTCCCCTCCAAGGCTATGTAAAAAAGGGCCATCAACAGCCCTGAAGAGAGATCGGCTGAGCAGGTCTGGGGAGATTTCCTAGAAACAAGGAACTTGACCTGGATCTTGGGTGAACTAACTTGCTGGTTTACTCACCTGTGCTGTGTCTGTGGGCATTGTGCTGGCCCGAGGCCCAGCAGTTTACAGGACAGTGGGAGAAGACATGTCAGCCACAGGCAGCTGGGGATCCATCATCTGCTGCCCAGCTGTCCTCACCGTGGGTGGCAGGGAAGATGTGTGGGAAGAAAGTGTGAGTCCAGGAGAAGTGTGTTCTGGGGGAAGTGTCCCTTGGCTGTTGGCATCTTCGGGATTGCTCCGTCCAATTCCTGGTATCTGTGATTGATGGGAGAACTCAGCTCAGTCCTCTCACCCCAACTCAGGGAACAGCAAAGCTGGGCTGGCCAAGGACTTCTTTGGGTCTTGATGTTTCTCTCTGTCCCTCCTCTTCTCTTCACTCCCATGGGTGCTGATCCAAAGAGCACCCCTAAGACACATCCTCATTCTAATCTCAGCCTGCTTCCCCAGAGTCCTGACCTGCAGCTAAACTCACCCAGCGATCAGTGGTACACGTTAGGGTATCAGCTGGTTGTCCCCGAGGACCTTAGTGTGAGGAGGCAGTGAGGGACAGTGTCCAGGTCAGACACATCTGTTTTCACTGCGTGTGGCCAAAGGGCTAGTGAGTCTCTTGGTTGGTTCCCCACAGCTGTTTCTGTTTGGAACACAGATTTGTGTATTTACATTAACGGTGTGTTGACTGTTCCATGTGTCCAGCTTTGTTACCTTCTGTAGAAATGAATACCATGACCATCCCACCGTTGGAGATGGTGCCTTACAATTTAGAGCCGTATATATCAACACGTCAAGATTTCCTGGGCACGCAAAGCAAAAGCTATCCACGGTACCCACCTAGTGGCCCTCCTGGGTGAGAGGCTGCCCCTGCACCCCACTTCCCACTTGTCCAGCAAAAACGGCACAGACAACACCTGTCTTCCAGTTGCTGGCAGTGTCAAAAGAATTTATTTCAAATCTGCTTAAGACTGTGAGAAAACAAGTTTTCAAAAGGTAATACAGAAAGTGCAACCAACCCCCAAAGACCACAAAACACAGTGTTTGCAATTCAAAAAATACAAACGCTTGTGGATACCAATACAAAAATTAGAAAAAATTACTTTCATTACCACTGCCCACCCCTCCATGTTTTCGGTGGAACATGAACAGCCACAGGACCAAGAAGATCTGCCACCAAACACCAACCACAAAGGACAAAGTAATGTGATGGGGAGGGACGGGAGAAGGATCAAAGAAAGGCAGGAAAATGGAAGGTCTGTCAACAGCCAAAACAAGGACACGGCTTTTTTCTTGTTAAATTCCTTTGCCAAAGTTAAACAAACACCTCTCATGCTTAATACAACAACGTAGTGCGAAGGCAGCAATTCTACATCATGCATTTATATTTCTGCTTTGCCCACTTGCCCCTTCAGTGCTGAGACCCTGTGTGGCTCAGGAAGTCCAGGCTCCAGTGGGAGGGATTGCAATGGCTGTCCCAGGCCTGTCTCATGGAGCATGCACCCCCAAGTCCTGCTTTCACAGCCACCAGCAGCCCTGAAGCCTTGCCCACGGGCCTGGCCTGGTGCCCAGTGCCCTGTGCCCTCTTCACCGGCCCACAAGCCCCAGAGCCTTTTCTAGGACTAGGTTGGAGGCTGTGCCTCTTAAAAGGATAGCGTTGCTTCCAGACAAGACTTAGGTAGAGTTAACTCCCAACTCCGTCCAACTGAAGTCAATATCATCCATTGAGACTTCTTTAATATCTCAGAAAGTGAAGTCACAGCAGTCATCAGCTCTGCAGAGAACCTGTGGGTGAGGGAGCCCTTGGACACCAGGACTTAGTGACCAAGAAGGCAGAATGCCACCTTAATGTCTCCTTGGCTTGGTGGGGGCTTCTGCTTGACGCTACGAAATTGCAGACAAGAAGCTTCTTCCCTGCACTTGAACAGAGCACCATTAACACTGTCTGTGGTCATGTGACACCTGTCTTAAATGCCTCTTCTGCCCCCTTCAGCCGGACAGCTGTGTAATCAATACTTGTCCTGGTTCAAGGAAGCTTACATGGAAGACACTGTGGTCAGAGGACTCCAGAAAATCACCACACAGCTTTGACCCATTGAATGTGGGCCATTGGCCTAAACTTGAGAGACTGCAAGGTTTGTTTTTGGTTTTTTTTTCCTTTAAAAAGAGCTATTCCATGATCCTCTCAAGACAGAAGAGGAGGTAGGTTATTGTGACTAGCTCCATTTGCAAGTGGGGATATTGAGGCACAGAAAGCTTATGAGTTTTGCCCCAACCCATGCCATGAGCCAATGTCAAAGCTAGGTTGAGAGATGGGCATGTTGAGGACTGCGTTGTCGTCTGGTCAGTGCGTCACACTGTGCCGAGCTCACCTGCATCTTTGCACAGCCTGTTTCACTAAGCTGCCAGGATTCCTTCAGATAAGAGCTGCTGAGGAAGGTAGTCAGTGACAACAGCTATAGGCCCACTTAAAAAAAAAAAAACACAAAAAACATAGTCCTGAGATTTCCCAGGATTAGCACAGTCTTTGAATGTTCTAGAAATACCTAATTAGATTTGGGGGGGGGGTTGAGACAGGGTCTCATTATGTCATTGAGACTGACCTGGAACTCACTATGTAGCCCAGGCTGGTTGAACTCACAGTGATCCTCCTGCCTCAGCCTCCCAAGTGCTGGGATTACAGGGGTGCATCACCACACCCAGCCCTCTAATTAGATTTTTTAAACCTGCTGAAACCACAGACTCATTAAAACGTCCCTGCTGCTTCCAGTGGCCAAGGAATAAGTTTTTCCTCTCTAGGGAAGGAGGGTGGTGCTGAGCAGAGATGTGTGACCTGGTGACTTGGGTTATGCTTGTGCCTCACTCACCCTTTCCCCACCTGAAGGCTTGTGGAAAGTCCTGGTCTTGGGTGGACAGGAGAGTCAGCAGCTTTGTAATACAGGGTTTCAGTGCAACATGGAAGTGGATGCAACCATCACTCTGAATATCGATGAATGACAGGCCAGTAGCATGACCACGAGGTCCTCAGCGGGAGTGACCAACAGGGGTAGCCAGCAACCTCTAGATACTTGTGGTTGTCATAACTAACTGGGTTGCCCCAAAGTAGCTATAGAGGACAGAAACTGGCTTCACCAACAGTCTTGTTACGGTGTACTCAGCATTCCTGTTTGAGATTCTAAGGGGTTCACTCACCGTCCCGGCTGAAGGTGGCAACCACCTGTCACTGGCACTGAAACAAGCCTTCCAGGAGGGCAGCCTTTCACTGGAGGAATGCAGGAATCCTGGGGGAGTGTACATCTGTGCTGCATCTGATTCTCCCTGACATGCTCTAGCAAGTCAGGAGCACTGCACAGAGAACAGCTCAGAGAGGAGGGCTGCCTCCCTGTCTCTTGGAGAGCACCATGGTGTCCCATTGGTTTGCTCAGTAGGGAAGGGCACTGTTGCAGCTACAGAGCACAGAGAGGCTGGTGATCAGCCTGGGTCGCAGTGCTTACGCTGAGCACCAACGTTCACTAAAACTGGGATCATTGTGTCCCAAAGAGGACAGAGAAGGAAGAAAGGCCTGCTGTGAGCACTGCCCTCCCATCTCGGAGCGGGACCTGGATGCTTGGAGTGAGGGAAGACACTAGTGAGTACTTCCAAAAGAGATGAATTTGACTACACTTTGATCAGAGTGGCTTTGCTAGCAAAGAATGGTGGGGCTGTGTACAGAGGCATTGATTGTGATACAACAGAATTCCACATCTTAAGCTACTTTGAGATCCTTTCTCATGGAAACTGCTAGATAGATTTCCACCAAGGTATTCTCAGCCAGCCCAACAGAAGCATCACTCCGATCTCATTTAGGTACAAACATCTGGCCATACTGCAGAGTGGTAGGGAATTTGGCTGATGACAATTCCATGGCCAGTCTCGCCCTTCTACTACTTCTGCCTTAAAGAGTTGGTAAGTTCTTTCTTTGCTTTTTGGATCTCTTAAAAACTCAAGTATGTGGCCAGCCTGCCCTTCTCTCTGTGGCCCATGCTTGCCCTGAGAGAAGCTTTGCCTGGGGTAGCTTGGAAGGAGTGCCTGGCACTGCCCCGGCATTAGCCATATTGCTTCTGGGTTTGGTGAAGGTAAGAAAAGGGGGACGCCCCTGCCCCAGTGGCTGTCGTGGTTGCTCCTCTTAGAACTTCAGGCAACTTTGTTCTTCAAGAGGCCACTTTGAGGGCTAGGACATGGCTCAGTGGTAGGTGCTTGCCTAGTATGTGTGAGGCCCTAGGTTTAATCTCCAGCACTGTTTAAAAGAAAAACAAAAAACACCTGAAATTGTGGGCATTCCCATCTATTTCTCTCTTTCTCTCTGTACTGGGGATTGAACTCTGGCACCACTGAGCTAAATCCCTAGCCCTCCCATCTGTATTTCTGCACCTCCTTTGATCTGGCTTCTGGCTCCCCCAGGCATCCCTGAACTGCTCCTGCTCCAAGATGGGTGATTTTTAGTGACCTGGTGACTCTCTGCTGACTGTAGTCACAGCCCTGCCCTGCCTGTGACCCAGCCTTGTCAGTACTGTCTGCATGCCCGGGGCATGGCCTGTCTTCTTCAAGACAGCAAGATGCTCCCAAAGCCGTGGGCATCTGAACCTGTGAACCTTACTACAGCTTCCTTGGCCCAAGAGGGCTGTGGCTTCTCTGTATTCTTCAGCTTATGGGCATCTGCCGCCTGTGGAGCCAGGGCCCTGGAGCTGGGGCTGTGACCAAGGCTAAAGGAGAATGGATGAGGGAGGCAGCCGAGCAGCTGAGGACAGCAGGCCAGGTCCTGTACGTGACTGAGAGAGCTCTGAACAGGGCCCCGGACAGGGTAAGCAGAGCCAGAAACCACCAGACAGGAAAGTAGAATGGTGAGTCAAGCCCAGGACCTCCACAGAGCAGATGGCTCCGGGGCCCAGCATGGAGGCCAGGATATAGCACCTCACTGCTCCTGGTGACACTGGGCAGCTGGCCCAACAGTGTATCTGTGGAGATGGCAGGCCATGAGTGAGGTCCGAGGTAGGATGTTTGGCCCCGCACAGCCTGGCGGTGGATCCTCAGAAACAGGCACAGGATCTGCAGGAGAAAGCAGCTGAGGAAGCACGGTTGGTGCTGGTGCATGGGCAAATCTTATAAAACCCACCCACTCAAGCAGACAAGCCAGTCCTCAATGGCAACCAAGTGACTGATAGAGAGAGTCTTAAAGAGGTGACAGCAGCTGACTTCCAGGTGGAGCTCGAGGAGCAGAACACAGGGAACAAGGAAGGAGACGAGGCCAGGTCCTAAGAGAGGGAGGACAGTGTGGACTTCTTGCGGGTCCTGTTTCTAGGAGGAGGAGGACTCGCCCCAGAGCTCCCTCTGGCCCATGGGACACAGCACACCTGGACTTGGGCTGGAGGGGGCCAGGTGCAGGCTGTTGACCTCGAGTTCCTGTCTTCCTCACAGGTGCTGCCCACCCTGTCACGGCAGAGCCACCCTCTTGCCATCGGGGCATTTCTTGTGTCTGTAATGCTTTCCTGACAGCAGTGCGTGGGGTCGTCTCAAAGTGAAAGGTTGACTGACACGAAAGGCCTCAGGTCTCCAGCTTCTGTGCTTCTAAGTGTGGGGGGGGGCACCCAGCTCAGAAGAACAGCTTGGACACATTTTCAGTTAGCTTCTGGGGCAGCCAATTCCAGGAAATGTCACCTCCAGGCAAAGACATATCACAGGCCTTAAAGTTCCAGTGTTTCCATCTATGGCTAAGAACTAAGAACTTAGGAAATGAAGTGGTCGACTGTTGCACAAACCCATGAGTGTGTGTGTGTGTGTGTGTGTGTGTGTGTGTGTGTGTGAGAGAGAGAGAGAGAGAGAGAGAGAGCATATGACTGGTTGACTAATAAAGACCCTAAGGAAGCCCTTTAAAAGGTTGTCAGTTCAGTGAAAGAGCAAAAATCAAGTATTAATGTCCCTTTTGATCAGTCCTGAAATTAGGCCTACAAGTGGCATGTCATGTACCGAAGGCCCAGAGCCAGAATGCTGAAGGATGGCTTCTCCCAGAGAGATGAGAACCTGCCAGCAGGGTAACACTGAGGCATGGGGTGACATCACAGCCCCCGGCTCCATCTCGGGGTGCCAATCTCAAAGTGTGCTTCCTCTCTCCAACAAAAATCAACTTTGCAATCAGACAGCAGGAAGCATACACACGTCCCAAAGGTCTTGATCCCTTGGGAAAGCCCCACGTGCCGAGTCTCCGTAGCATTTGGGTGAAAGAAGATGAAGCATACACTGGTGTCCTCCACGGGCACAGCAGCCACAGCGTGGCCTACGACCCACCCCAAAGAAACCATCTCGATGTTCGGTGGCTGCTGAGCTGCACCCAGGACCTGCTCCTTGCTCATCTGCTCCCTTGGATTACCGGAGCTTCATGAGGACATGTGGCTCTTTCAGGTGAGGCCCTGGTCACAGGCCAGCTGGACAGCAGGAGCTGCCAGGCTAGTTGCCTGTCAGCTTTGGTCTCCCCAGGTTTGTTGGCACCTCCAATCCTGTGTGCAGGGTGACCTGGAAGAGAAGACCGGACAGCTGAGGCTGCGGCCTGTGTTCCTTTCCTGTGGCTGTCTTGCTGACCCCATGGATTGATAGGCTTGGTAAATGAGCAAGAAGTAATTGCTATCAAGAAAATGGACGGAACTGGAGATCATCATGTTAAGCAAAATACAACAGACTGAGAAAGACAAGTATCACATGTTTTCTCTATCATGTAGAATCTTAAAAAAAAAAGATGAGCTGGTTCTGGTGGCACATGACTTAGTCCCAGTACAAGGGAGGATGAGGCAGGAGAATCACTGTGCGTTTGGGATAGCCTGGGCTGTACAGTGAGACCCTGTCTCAAAAATTCAAGAAAGAAATAAAAAGATGGCGTGAAAGTAGAAGGGTTACTATTATTACATAAGAGGAAGGGGGTAGGGGAGAGGTATAAGGAAGGGTAGTAGGGCAAGTGGATATAATCAAATACATTATATGCATGTATGAAAATGCATTGAAACCCAACATTTTGTAAAACTAATAGGCATTAATAAAATACATTTTTTGAAAAAGAAATGGTTGCCATGTGTGCATCAGTAGCAGCCCAAGCCAGGTCCCGCCCCCTCGAGGGGAGGACTCCTCTAGAGGAGAAGGATTCTACCCGTTGGTTCTCTCCTCCTGACACCCTCGGGCTCTCATTTTGTCTCCTGCAGTGACACCTGGGCCCAGCACCAAGCTCTGCTTCTCCAAAACGGGCCCTGCTTGGTTCGAGGGAACAAGGGGGAACTGACTGTTACAGAGAGCCCCCACTCTGGGAGTGCTGGGTGGCTGTGCCCCGTCTGGTGGCTTGGTGACCAGACTTGCATCCGTCTGTGCCCATCAGCAGGGAGCGCCCCTGGGCCTGAGGTACCTGCACATTCCGGTTGAGGCTCAGGGCCGGCATGAAGACTCCATCCACGTGGCTGAAGGCTGTGGGGCCCTGCTGCTGCCCATTGATGAAGAAGGTCAAGGTGTGCTTATTCAGGTCCAGCAGCACGCCCACAGTGGCCCCCTTGCACACGCCGCCTTCTGTCCTATGGAGAGACACCCAGGAAGACCCATCACCACACTCAGCCTGGGATGCAGGCCATGACTCAGCATCATCTGAAGGAGGTTGGGGATACTCTCACCTAAATCGAGTCCCAGGGTTGGGCAAGGCGTATTCTGTGATTGTCTAAGCATCTGGCAGTGAATGCAGCCATGACTAGACCACACAGGGAGAGTCTTAACTCCGGGTGGGGTAGCGAGGGACCAGGCTGCTCAGCTCCTCCCAGCACTAACCTGAGGCCTGCACACCACAGAGTGGGGGGTCCCCTCTGAACCTAGGGAGCAGGCAGCATGGATACAGAAGTTGCCTTTGCCTGCCAAAGACAAGAACTAACTTGGCCCCCTTCTCAGTTTCAAGCCATGGGGATGCTGAGCTGGACTAAGATGCAGACGCGAAGGTTGCAGGTTGTGGAGGGCATAAGGGCACGAGCTGGAAACCAAGCCCTCTGTTTGAGTCACCATCCCCAGGCGATCAGTGGCGGGGCCTTGAGAACCTCAGTGATGGAACCAGGAGCCCATATCACCTGGTTGGGGAGGAACGCCCTCCAAGAAGGACCTGGGCCTGGCTGAGCTTGCCTCCTCCCCATGGGCTGACTCACCTCTAAAAGAAAAGCATGCTGGTTCACCCTGTTAGGACTGAACTGTGCAGCGGGGCCAGAAAGGTGAGCAGTGGAAGGGCTCACAACATGAATCCCGGAGGAAGGCTTGTGGGCAGGCCAGAGGGTGCTCCTTGAGAGGGCAGGTTTTCTAGAAGGTGCTGAAGGGCAGGCTTGGGTCAGGACCCACAGGGAAGAAAGAGAAATGGAACTGGGAGAGCGGTGCTGTTCTGAGGCTGACCACAGGGTGGCGATAGTAACCACCCGGAAGCGTGGGACCTTGACTCCCACCAAGCTTGGAGCTGCTGGGTCAGAACCCAGCCCCTCTGCTGGGTGTGGATGAAGGGAGTGGTCAGCCTGCATCAAGCAATCAGCCAGCAAGAAGATACAGCCAAGACGAGAGAGAGCAGAGAGCTGCCTTTCCTCCCTCGGGCCTCTGGGAGGAAAGGCATTAGCAGGAAACTGGCAGCAGGCAGGTGGGGTCCCCTGGGACTTCAGACAAGTTCCTAGCCAGGCTTGAAGTCCCTGGGAGAGAAGCTGGGCTCTCCCACTGTGGGGAAGTTCCCATGGCTGTCTGTAGGAGCAGCAGGTAGACCCAGAGCAGGGAACCTCAGGGACCAACTGTCAAGAGTTGGGGCGCTGTGAAGTCAGCTCCTTGAGCCCCCTCACCCCTGAGGCCACTGGCAGAGGTCACTCTGGGTGAATGGCCAGCAATGGCAACATCTGCTCCCTGCATGGAAAGCCAGGGACCACTCACACCCTGAAGTGACCCAGGCTTGGCTTGATGGTTGCGAAGAAAAGGGAAGCAGAACCAGAAAGAAAACTGTAAGCTCAGTACCCAGGAAAATACCCATCATGTGCCAGCTGCAAGACTGAGGACCTGCTGTGCCAGTGCTGTCCTAGTCACTGTCACGCAGTCTCAGATGGGCCGCAGACCAGTGATCACTTCCCTGGTCATTGTCAAAGCCACCTGGAAGTGGTTATCAAAGCACCCCAAAACACCACCCCTGGCCCCTGCGTGCCTGGCTTTGAGGATGAAAATGGAAGAGACGTCAGGCAGGCCAGGGAGGGGAGGGCAGGGCAGCACGCACCTGTTGGTGTGGGAGTTGCAGTGCATGAACCAGCTGCGGTTGTTGTCCACGTACATGGCCCAGGCCTTGTCGTCCTTGCCCAACATCATGTCCTTGGCCACGCTGGCCCTGGCCACCCCAAAGGCAGGGTCTGGGTGGTTGTCGTACCGGTCCACGTGCAGCTCCCAGTAGTGTACACCCTTGGAGAATGCGGCCGTGCCCAGCACTACCCGGTCATCATAGCTGCTGCAGGTGGCTGTCTGGTTGTCATTGGATAAAATGATGTCCCGGTGCCCAGAATTGGGGTCGAATGTGAACCAGGCCACTGGAAAGGGAGGACATAAGAGAAGCAGGATCAAGTGATGGAAATCCAACAGTTTCTAATGTGCCCAGACATGGACTCACTGATTTTCATGGGAAAATGGGCACACAGTGTCCAGTGGCCCTCTGCCTGGGAAGTGTACAATACCGCACAAATGCACACATACCCACGCTCGCTCGGGCTCATGTTCCTTGCTCTGTGTTCCTCCATGTTCCCATCCCCAGAACCCAGCCTTGCCAAGGAACACAGGGGTTCAGGCCTCCTGGTCCCACATGCAGAAGCATTGTGGAGTGCTGCATTCTGGGACCCTTTCAAACACTCACGCTGTTAGCAGAGAAGGAAGGGGACATCAATGGCCTACCTCGTGGCGGTCGACTGACACATGGAGAAGTAAAGCAATGTGGCCAAGGTCACAAAGCTTAGTTCTCTGTTCTGCAGCCCATTGTGGGCCAGGATGTGGGACATGTTCTCTAAAATCATGATCACAGCACTCAAGGCAAGAGGATGCGTCCACGTGCCCACTCCGAGATGTGGTGCTTACCGTCAGACGTCTGCAGGACAACTGTCTTGCTGTATGGCCCGACACCTGAGGAGTTGAAGGCCTTGACCCTGGCATTGTAGGTGCTATTGAAGTGCAGCCCATCTATGGTGCACAGGGTCTCCTTGCCAACATACACCTCCTGGAAGAGCCAAGCCTGCCCATTAGGACCCCAGGGCTCCAGGAAAATCCTTCACAGCAAACTGACATTCAGAGTGCTAGCACCCACAGGACTGGCTGAGTAAGGGAGACTGCAGCCAGCACGGCTGGGCCTAGGCTAGGTCCAAGTGTGTGGGGGGCTCCCCTACCGCTGTCTGGGTGCCTGGGAGGTGCAGGGCAGGGGTCCTAGTGAGGCAGGCTGCACGGTGCAGCTGGATGCCACACTACTGGAGAACCTGCTGCCTCTGCTGAGGTCAGTCCCGCCAGAATACTCTGGAGCCTGGGGACAATCACTGCACATCTCCTCCCACAATGGAGGTTGCATCTTCTGCTCCTTGGCTTCCTGTGCTGCTGACTTTTAGATGTCCCCAGGCGGTAAGACATTCCTGCCCTGGGCCCCAGTTTCTCTTTTCTAGGGATTTGTTTGTTTGCCATGGCTTCCAAGTTCCTCTTGTCCTCACCCCCAGGATGTATGGTTACCCATGGCTCTTGCCATGAAGTGCCGCTCATTTTGCCTGTGGCCTCCACCTGCCCATTCAGGGCTCTCTCTTTCTCTCTCTCTGTTTTTTTTTT